GGGCTCAGGCAATCCACTCACCTCAGCCTCCCAAAGGCGCGGGATTACAGGCTGAGCCACCGAGCCTGGCTCTAATTTTTATTTTGTGTAGAGATGAGGTGTCGCCAAGTTGCCCGCGGGCTCAGCAATCCACTCACCTCAGCCTCCCAAAGCGCTGGGATTACAGGCTGAGCCACCGAGCCCAACTTCATGTTGTTTATGTAACTGTTTCTAAATTCTACTCCAAGACTTTCCTGTCTTTACAGAAATTCTCAAGCTAACCTTAAAATAAACGAAATGGTTTGTTTTTACCTATCATGACATATGCATAATTCGCATATCAATCTGTATATGGTGAATAGTGGAATAAGGAGCTGCTTATTATTTAAAACATTTTTATTTGGAAAGATATTTGATAAATGTCACTAAGGTAGATGTAATGAGACTTCCTTATGACCACATATTGTGTTGTGTCACATTGCCTGCATCATGATCAAGTTTTATGTAAAGTGGCCAATAATGGATAGAAGAAACAGACCAGACCTTATGAAGAATATTTAGCTATGAAAAAAATTTTGTTTTATTTTTTGAGAAAGCAGGAATTTATTAAGAAGACAGAAAAACTCCCGCAGCAGGAGGGGCCCTGAAGAGGGTTGCCCGAAACATAATTTTTTTTTTAAATTGGAGTCTCACTCCATTGTCCAGGCTGGAGAGTAGTGGCATGCTCACGGTCACCCCAGTGTCAACCTTATGGGCTCTGGGAATCCTTCTGCCTCAGCCTTCCAAGTAGCTGGAACTACAGGCACATGCTACGACGCCCAACTAATTTTTTATTTTTTGTTGAGACGAGGTCTCACTAAGTTGCCCGTGCTGGTCTCAAATCCGCGGGCTCAGGCAATCCACTTGCCTTGGCCTCCCAAAGTGCTGGGATTATAGGCTGAGCCACTGAACCAAGCCCGAAACATAATTTTAAAGGTTATATATGCTAATCTAAGTTGACAAACTAGAAACCAAGCCCCATGTGACTCAGAAATGGATGTTGATGTTACTTTTAGTCCACTTGTATCAGACGTCTCAAGACACTGGTTAACTTTATAAAAAACTTGTCTATCACCTTCATCCGAATCAAGAATTGGATCATGAACAGTTAATGAGGGGCAAAAATATCTTTTTGAATTAGAATGAGACCATGTATCCCAACTGTAGCATGTTCATCTGAATAGTTGATTAGAAAAACAAGTTCAATGTAAAATTGTGAATTAAAACACAGAGAGTGTATAAAAACACTTATTCAGTCACTTAAAAAAATGTGTGAGTTTTTGAAGAAATGTAATTTCCCAGATTTGAAATACTAATCTAAGCCTTCAGAGCCCATTCTTGATATTTTAGAATAATGAAATTCAGATATTATCTTTTATACTTATCTTGTATCATATTGATTGTAAATTACTTGGAGTTTTTCACAGCATGAACCAAGCATGAAGCATTCAGCTTGCCAACTCTTTTTTGGTCAGAAGTGACATTTATCTTCATAAGGCCTGCCCACTCACCCACAAAATATAATAATCTAAGCAAAATTTAAGGGGGATTTTGATAATTTTTGTTCTTTCTTTGACAGTCAAATAAATCCTACAGTGTGGTTGGACTGAGAGATCTGAAATCCATGACCTGATCAGCTTTACTTCTGCTGGATTAATCCTGCACCAAACCAGGAGAGGGCGTGAGGACAATTTTGACTATAAGTGAAAACAATTACGGAAAGTCTGAATATTAGCTGTCAAGGCAAAAGCAGAAGAAAAAGGATACCATGGGATTGAGAAAGAGCTGACTTTTATCCCTATCTCTAAAATAACAATTTCCTCAGTATAAGACATATTCTGTAAATTGATCTACTTGTATACACAGCTCTTTCAAATGTTTCTATCCTTGGCAAACCATTAATTTACACGAAATTCTTAATGGCATATTAGAATTAACAATTTGATACATACAGGCATAGAAGATCATGTCACAGAGATGCCAGCAAGGGCCTGGGCTATATGTAGTTCTGTGTAGCTACGCTCATGGTTGCTGTCCTCCTGCCAACTCAGCCCTGCCCGAATACTCCAGTCAACCCTGACTCAGTGGCTTCCTCTCTCCTCCTCCCATGCTGCCAATGCACTCATGTTAGTTGTCACACTGAAGCCGCTGCGTTTCTGAACTGATTCCCTCAGCCCAGCCTCTCACATATCCCTGTTCTCAAAATTGTGACCCAAATCCGACTTCCCTGTGGGTTCTAATTTATAAGTCTGGGATTTTTGCCTCGGTCCTCTTAGGAATTTCTTTTCTGATAAACTGATAAGAATGCCAGCTTTCTTCTGGGAGCTGGGACGTCTGGCTTAGTCCTGTTTGTGAGTTCACTTCTGCCAAGTCTGAGGCCTTCCTTGCTCTTTTCAATTCCCATCTCCAGCCAACCCAGGACAGACTCCTCAGACGTGGACTGCCTTGTGGACCACACTGGTAAGTGTCAGCCCTGAACTCTGTTAGGATACCTCATTGGAACCATGAGCTTGGACTAGGTTTTGACTTTATCACTGACTTTAGTTGTGATTACTTCTGGGATTTTCTATCCATCTATCCACCCATCCTTCCTTCCATCCATCCATCTATCCATCCGCTTATCCATCTATCCACCCATCCTTCCTTCCTTCCATCCATCCATCCATCCGCTTATCCATCTATCCACCCATCCTTCCTTCCATCCATCCATCCATCCATCCGCTTATCCATCTATCCACCCACCCTTCCTTCCATCCATCCATCCATCCGCTTATCCATCTATCCACCCATCCTTCCTTCCATCCATTCATCCATCCATCCATCCGCTTATCCATCTATCCACCCATTCTTCCTTCCATTCATCCATCCATCCATCCATCCGCTTATCCATCTATCCACCCATCCTTCCTTCCATCCATCCATCCATCCATCCATCCATCCGCTTATCCATCCATCCACCCATCCTTCCTTCCATCCATCCATCCATCTGCTTATCCATCCATCCACCCATCCTTCCTTCCATCCATCCATCCATCCATCCATCCATCCATCCATCCGCTTATCCATCCATCCACCCATCCTTCCTTCCATCCATCCATCCATCCATCCGCTTATCCATCCATCCACCCATCCTTCCTTCCATCCATCCATCCATCCATCCATCCATCCATCCGCTTATCCATCTATTCAGCCATCCATACATCATCCATTTATCCATCTACACATCTGTGCTTCCATCCATTCAGTCACTTACCCACTCATCCACCTACCCATTCACTTCTCCAACTATCCATCTACCTACCCACCCACTTATCCATATATCTAACCACGCATCATCCACGTATCCATCTACACATCTATGCACTCATCCATTCATCCACCTAACCACTCACTCACCTATCCACTCACTTATTCAATCATCCATCCATCTTTTCATTCACTTCTTCTTTCTTAATTATTAAGGGCTTAATCTGTACAGATCCTGTGCTTAGTGCTGGAGATACAATGGTTTTAAAGACAGTTATTATTCCTGCTCTAGCAGAGGACACAGATAGTTAAATAAACAATTACAATAAAGTGTGAAAAGTAACTCTCTTGCTCACATGCCTAAGTAGGGGAATCCATTGCCAAGTTCCCATACCTCTCTCTTGCCATGTTTTTCTATGCACACACAGCCATACTCTGTGGGGGCAAAATAGGCTAATATTTCAATTCTATGTTTTGGAAATTTTTGAAGAAAAAAGCTATAAATTTCAAGCTGGGAGAGCAAGTATTGATATTATATGCATATTTCTATAATAACTCCTTAGACATGTATAGAGTTTTACAATATGCAAATACTTTTATTTACAGATTTTATTTGTTCTTCAGAGGATACTTGTGAGGTATATGTAGGGTAGGTGTTATTTTCATCCTCACTTTATGGAAAATAAGTTAAGGTTCATAGAAGTTAGAATAACTTTAGCAAAGTCTAGAGTTGAAATCAAAAGCAAGTCTTATTATTGCTAATATGGAATTCTCTCCACTTTATCAAAACTTAGTGAAAACTAGTATAGTTTCAAAAATCTTAGTAATGTTCCATTTACTGTGATCTACATTTTTAAACAGGTTAATGCTCACAGGATATTCTGTCTGTCACCTGCTCTGGAGAAATAGAATATAGCACACAGAACTCTAAAACATTAATTTATATTGCATTGCATGTTTATTACTTTAATCTATGAACTCAAGTGGGGAGGTGGAGAGATGAGATCACTTGCCTCTTATCTCGGAAAGATGTGAAATCATTACTAAACCCTGACAAAAACAGCAGGTAGCTCTTGAAACATTTTCTAAAGAACACTTAGAGACTTTGATTCAAGACTGAAGTTCTACTGTGGCACTTTCTTCCTCATCACTCTTTATGGGGACGGCTCGTCCTTTTATCATCTGTTGTCATATCTAATTAGATTTATCAGAATGTGTTGTTATATGTCATTTCCATCTTCCTTTTTTTCCCTTCATACCAATATGACTTTCATTTTCCAAATAGTCTGTGTCCTTGAAACCACAGTAGAGTTTCTTTTAAAGTCAGCCTCCTTAAGTCCACGAATGTAAATAAGTTTTTTTTTTTTTTTAATCAGAGACTCCCTGGGTCACCCAGCCTGAAGTGCAGTGGCATGCTCAAGGCTACCACAACCTTGAACTGATGGGCTCAGATGATCCTTCTTTCTCAGCCTTCCAAGTAGCTGGAACCACAGGAGTGTGCCACCACACCCGGGCTACTATTTTGATTTATTGTAGAGACAAGGTCTTGCTAAGTTGCCCAGGCTGGTCTCAAACCCATGGGCTCAGGTAATCTTCTTGCCTCTGCCTCCCAAAGTGCTGGGATTGCAGGCATGAGGCACTGCGCTTGGCTGTAGATAAATTTTGAGTTGCCAAGCCACCAGGCAAAATCCAAAGGCATATCACACCACTTGAGCTTGGCTACTCCATTTTTCTCTTTATCTTATTCCTGGAATGATGGGAAAAGTCTGGTGTTTGGCATCATATAATTAAAATACAGTTAAAATATGGAATTTTTACTTTTATGTGGATTCTGTAAATGTAGCTAAGACTTAAAAGTGATTTTGCAATGTCTTGGTTGCTTTGAAGCAAATATATGCTCGAAATCTAAAAAGTAAGTTCATAACTCTTTAATTCTCTTAAGCAGAGAACATTCTGACAACCATTAGGGGTGAGATCAAAGGGAAGTGTAACTGCCTCCCTGGTATTTCCATGCCATTTGTCATCAGCTGGTTTTGCCACTTGTTTTGTAGAGTATGGAACTTTCTCTGCTGGTTCTTGCTTGTTCTCTTATCCTTTAGCTTTAAATATCTGTCCTCTGAAGATTTTCTGGGTGGAAGTACCATGGAGTTGATACCATGGGATCCTCATGAGTGATACTGCATTGGCAAAGAAGGAAAACACCCCCAAGTCTCTCATAATGTGAATCCTTTTAAAATTAATTTTTTCTCAAAGGTTTTCATCAAAAACCTTCTCAGGATGTTCACCAAATGAAGTAAGTAAGCCATAAAGTCAGCCATTAGTCTTATTTTGAAGGTGTATATTTCTTCTTCCAAGTTGGGCAAAGAATCTCTACTCTGTATGGATAAGATCACAGTTCATCTAATAGTTCCAGGTAGATTGCTATAGATAATCAACAGGTGTAAGTCATAACTACACAATAGATATAGAGGGACAACAGGAATGGGTCAATCCTTTAGGAAGAGCAGAAAATACTGGTTCAAGTATTAGGATGAATTTAATGAACTGAAAATTCCCTGTAAATATTTAATTTTTATTTTATTTTAAAGATGTGAGGTACAAGTCAGGATTGAGCACATAAGTGGTTTACGTACAGGCGAAATACAGGCCACGATGAATTTAATAAATCAAAAATTCCCTGCAACTGTTTTCAATTGTTTTATTAGATGTTCCATTGAAGGTACAAAAAAAAAAAAATTCCAAACACATCTAAGGTGATAATGATGCTAATCTGAATTGGGATAGTTCATACTTGGTACCATTTAAAACTTGGTTGAGTTCAGTCACAGTATCAAATTTTTCATAATATCTCTTCTTTAATTAAATGTTACTCAAAGAAAATGGATGTTTTCTTCAGTGCATACTTGAGCACTAGCGTTAGAAAATGCATATTCCTAGAATGGTTAAGAGAAGACTCTCTTTTTATATTTAGGAGGTAAGCACTAAAACTTTGAATCAAGTTGAGAGTAATTTTATGATTTAGACAATCTTTCATTTAGTATTTAAACTAAGGTATTATTTTGTGTGCTTTGGGAACAGAAAGTTGATGGGATATTTTCTGTTCTCAAGAGTATTTTAGGGAGGAAGATATAGGTTAGCATACACTGGGTAAATAATTTCAAATGCAAATTTGGTTCTTGCTCACATGACATGAACAATGAGGTTGGCACAGGGGCTCTGGTCACCATGGTCACTGAAGAACACAGGTCGGCAAGAGTTTGATCTGGTCGTGTTTCCATGTTCACCAACCACAGTAGTGGGAAGAGATTATGGGCAGCGCAGTGGCTCTTAATATTTCTTCTCTGCAGTGACATGACATTTCTGTTTATATTTCATTGGCCAGAGAAAGTCTCATGGTCACATCTAACTTTTTTTTTGAGTCAGAGTCTTACTCTATAAGCCCAGGCTGTAGTGCAGTGGCATGATCAGGGCTCATTGCAGCCTCTACCTCTTGGACTGAGGTGATCCTTCCACCTCAGCCTTCCTAGTAGCTAGTACTACGGGCATGTGCCACCACACCTGGCAATTTTTAAATTTTTTTTATTGTAGAGATGAGCTCTCCCTACATTGCCCAGTCTAGTCTTGAACTCCTAGGCTCAAGTGGTTCTCCTGCCTTGGCCTTCCAAATTTCTGGGATTGCAGGTATGAGCCAACGCACCTAGCCTACATCTGACTTCAAAAGAATCAAAAAGTGTAATTCTACTGTGTGCTCTGAGGGAAGGTTGGCAACCTTTGGTGAACAGCTAATGCTATCACAGAATGATGGGATATGTGTGTGTCCCTGATGCCTTCAAAGGTGACAGTTAAATGGGCCATCATAAAAATTTAGGAAAAATATCAGAATATTTGGATCCCTTAGAATTACATTGTCATAAATTTTAAAAATGAGGAATGCAGTTGGATTCATCATCTTCACCCCACTGTTGTCAGGGTTGATTTGATATATATATATTTATTTGAGTTGGAGTCTCACTCTGTCGCCCAGACTGGAGTGCAGTGGCCGCTCCCGGCCACCGCAGCGTCGACCTGCTGGGCTCCGGCGATCCTTCCGCCTCAGCCTTCCAAGTAGCTGGAACTACAGGCATGCACTACCATGCCCGGCTAATTTTTTGATTTATTGTAGAGATGAAGTCTTGCCAAGTTGCCCAGGTGGGTCTCGAAACCGCGGGCTCAGG